ACAGTGTATGTAAACCCAGTTCAGACGCCTGCTGCAGACGGTTGCATTGATTTTAGTGGAAGTGTGTCGATGCAGCAGCAACAGGATTCGATATTTCTACACTTCCTATCCGTTATCTATGAAAGCAGCTGTGCAGTGCATTGTGGGAGCAGCACTTTGCCAGCTTTTGTCTTCATAGAATTAAGGTTTCAGATACTTTACACACAACTAGAGAACATCGGGAACACAGACCCTGTAAGTTCATCTTTCGTCTGAAGAGGTGCAGCCGGATGAAGGGTGTTGTTGCATCAAATACTGGAAAGCTGTGCAGCCTCTCGTGTACAAAAACATGCGTGTGCTGCTCGCAAACATGTGCTCGATGCAGACGTGTATTTAAAAGCAACAGAGTCAGCAGTGAGAGCAGAAATCTGTGGTGGTGATATACTCATTTCTAGTCTGATGCACAACTCGGTGAACGACACAAGCTTTATTCTGCACATGGAGGCGACTTTTGTGGACTTTCTGCACAGAGTGAAGCTGGTCTAAGCTGGACAGGCGTTCAGTCAGGAGTTTGGTTTCCAGCTGAAACCTCAAATAAACGTTAACTTCTGTCTTTGTCTGGTTGCAGGAGCTCAGAGCTGCAGTCACGTTTTGGCCTTTTCCACATATTTCTGTCTTTAAATGTTCTAAACAGATCGTTTGAGTTACACGTCATCGTCTCTCACATGTTTGTCTTCTAGTCTCAGAAGAGGAGAGGAAGCAAGGACGCCCTGAAGTCCGACAAGAAGGCGGCGCAGACGCCGACCGAGGTGAGACGCTCTGCCGAGTCACGACTCTTCGTTTTCCCTTCATCACCTTCTTGCACATTCGTGAGCGGTGCTGTCATGAATATGCATCAATAAGTGCTGTAGCTCACATCCTCCCTGTGAAGTGAAACGCTGCTGCTTTTATGTAAATGAGGGTTTGCAGAGCTGCAGCAGAAATCCTCTCGGCTAGAAAATCTTCCCCCGACTTTAATCTTAAGTCCGTCGTCGTGCACGTCTTACTTCTGAACTTAGGGATTTGGTCTGAACGCCTGTAAACTCCCTGATGTCTGTGGCAGGAGGACAACGAGGACCTCAAGTGCCAGCTGGCCTTCATCAAGGAGGAGGCGGTGCTGATGAGGAAGAAGACGGCGAAGATCGACAAGGAGAAGGACCGGCTGGAGCAGGAGCTGCAGAAGTACCGCAGCTTCTACGGCGAGCTGGACAGCGGCCACCCGAAGGGCGAGGCCGGCGGGCCGCCCACCACCAGGGAGTCGGAGCTGAAGCTGAGGCTGCGCCTGGTGGAGGAGGAGGCCAACATCCTGGGCAGGAAGATCGTGGAGCTGGAGGTGAGGCGGGCGGAGAGAGAGAGAGACTGGAGACAGTGGTGGAAATCTGACAGCAAGGGTGTCAAAAAAAAAAACTAAAATTAATGTAAACTGATTATGTTTAAGTGGATCTGAACACATTAAAACTGTGTGATTATAAATATATTGATTCCAATTTACAGTAACACTTTGTTTCAGTGGAAGTTAAACGTCAAAATGACCTTTACCACTGAATCATGACTCCTAATCACTGAACCAGTTTCTGCTCATGGTTCCCTACGTGGAGGTTTTGGTGGAGGTTCTAGTCTGAGCTTCTCTCCGTGCAGGTGGAGAACCGAGGCCTCCGGGCCGAGCTGGACGACCTCCGCGGTGAAGGGGAAGGTTCCGGAGGGTCCGGCTGTGGCGCTCCGGGCGGCTCGGGCGCCGGCCGCGGCCTCGGAGACGACCTGACGGAGCTCCGGCAGCAGCTGCAGCTGGTGGAGGACGAGGCGGAGCTGCTGAGGAGGAACCTGGCCGACGCCGAGGACCAGAACAAGAGGGTCACCGCCGAGCTCAACAAGCTCCGGTTCAAGGCCGGAACCCACGAGGGAGGAAGCCGCCACGGAGGAGGGACGTCGGGGGGAACGGGCATGGACGCCGCGAAGGCCGAAGCCCTGCAGGAGGAGCTGAAGGCCGCACGGCTGCAGATCAACGACCTGAGCGGGAAGGTGGGCGCTGCTCCATCAGCTCACTGGGTTTTATCATGAAGGGTTCTGGTAGGAACAGAGGGGATCCACGGTGAGGTCTGGACTCACAGAGTAAAGTCTCAGCGGCTCCTTTTCAGCAAAGAAATATCCAAGAAGAGCTGTTTGAATGTCGTTTAGTAAGCAAAACAGAAAAAAAGACTCAATATTTCCCCATTAGTTTGCACAGATTAAGTAAATTAAGAACATTTTGGACAATTTTTGAGTCCATTTTGATTTTTTTTGATCAGTCTGGAAACAGTTTGAGTCATTTCAGACATTTGTTTGGTCATTTTGGACAAATGTGGAATCATTTAGACAGAGTTTGAGTAAATCTGGACATATTTTGAGTCATTTAAGCCTTTTTTTGGTCATTTTACACCATTTTGGACGAGCCTTCAGCCAATTTAGACGATATTTGAATAACTCCAGACAGGTTTGTAGTCATCTGGGAGATTTCATGTAGTTTTTAATCATTTTAGACAATTTTTGAATCATTTTGTGACAAGAATTCAGGACATTTTTAAAAATAATTTAGCATCTTTTGTGACATTGAGATGTTCCAGATGAAATTTCTTTTAAAAAAAACAAAAAAACTATTATTTTGGGCAGATTAAGTAAATTTTCGGAGAATTTTTGAGTCAATTTACTTTTTTTTTCCAATCAGTCTGGACACGGTTCAGGTCATTTTAGAATAGTGAAAAATGTCGATCGGTTGCCTCAAATGTTTTAAGGTTTCCGTCTCAGAGCTGCTTAAATGTACGACAAAGAAAAGCTTAAAATCAGCTGTTGGATCAGAAAACAATGAAACAGGTGAAGCTTCCTCACACATGTCCGTCTTCTTCGTCCTCCAGGTGATGCAGCTGCAGTACGAGAACCGCGTCCTGCTGTCCAACATGCAGCGCTACGACCTAGCCTCCCACCTCTCGCTCCGCCCGAGTCCTCGCGACAGCGACGCCGAGAGCGACGCCGGCGGCGCCACGAGCAGCCGGCGTGAGAGCGACGAGGACTCCACCTCGTCGCGTCTGCTGCCGCCGCACCGCAAGCGCGAAGGCCCGGTGGGCGGCGAGAGCGACTCGGACGAGGTGAGGAACAACAACGGCAGCAGCCGGTGCCTGACGCCCACCAGGGGCCTGTACACGCCCACCGGGCCCGAGGGCGCCGCCTCCTCCGCCCTGGCCCGCTTCCTGCCGGGCGGCCGCTGCAGCCTGCGCGACCGGCAGCAGATGATCGACATCCGGGTGGAGGCGGAGCGGCTGGTCCGCACCATCGACCGGCTCATCGCCGACACCGCCGCCATCATCTCGGAGGCGAGGGTCTACGTGTCCAACGGCGACCTGATGTTCGGCCGGGGAGGCGAGGACGGCGGCGAGGACGACGGCGGCCGCATCAGGGAGCACGAGCTGCTGTACCGCATCAACGCCCAGATGAAGGCCTTCAGGAAGGAGCTGCAGGGCTTCATCGACCGGCTGGAGGTGCCCAAGCTGGAGGACCGGGAGTCGGAGGAGCCGCTGTCGGTGAGACAAACAGCAGCAGGGCTAATGAGGCGGGGACACATCCAGGACGGTTGAATCTCATTCTGCTTCTTCCCTTTTCCACTCTGACTTCCTGTCTGCGGTCCAGATGTTCCAGCCCATCATCCTCCTCATCCTCATCCTCGTCCTGTTCTCCTCCCTCTCTTACGCCACCATCTTCAAGCTAGTCTTCCTCTTCACGCTCTTCTTCGTTCTGTGACGTTCTCCTCCCTCCGTTCGCATCGTCCCTCCTTCGTTCTTTTTTTTTTTTTTTTGCTCTGTTGATTTCTTTTTGTTGTTGTTTTTCCATTCCCACATCATTTGTTGCCAAGGTAACCAAAAGCACAGAAAAAAGCTCAGCGCATCCGAGGACGGGCGGCGGGTTTCAGCAGCGTCACGACGCATCGGCGTCGCTCGATGGAGAAGGTGAGTCGCTGAGATTTAACCCTCTGAAACCTGATTTACTTGTTCTTCTCTGCAACATAAAGTCCTGCAGCTCCATGGAAACAGAACAACATGAAGGAGGAGAGAGAACTCAGAACATCATTAAAAAGAAAGAAAACTAAAATATTAAAAACCTGGAGTCAACAAGTTT